TCTCCAGCATGAACTGCCGAGCAGCAAACTCAAACTCGTACTGAGCCTGCTTGACCACGCGGTCTGACGGCCAGTCAGGGTGGCGGCTGGCTACCAACTGGCGTGATGACTGGCGGTACACGTCCTTGTCCTGCCAGTTGCGCACCCACACAGGCCGCCAGTCCTCCCAGTCGATGACTGCCAGCCCCGCAGGCTCCTGTCTCCTAATGTAGTGCTCCACATGTTCCTGCAGCATCTTCAGGTGTGCCCAGAGGCTACCATTCTGTGGCACGCCACCATGCACAAACCTCCCTGCCGAATCGAAATGTGGATACAGGCCTAGCCGATCCCGGTAGAAGATGGTGATGTTCTGGTTCACAAAACCCTCATTTGGTGAGGCCTGCACGTCAAAGGCTTTTTCCTCTGGATCCAGTGGCACCTTGAGGCGTGGGCCGCAGTCTTGCGTGGGCACGTCCCATGCTACCACAAAGGGCCGGCCTGTGAAGATGGGTGGTGCCGTGGGCTTGAGCTCCGTGGCCCATGCCACCGCCAACACCAGGGCCAGTGTGACGGCAGGGCTCAGGCCTGCCCACATGCTGGGGGCTGCAGGAAGACGGTGTCACCTGCCTGGCACCAGCTCAGGAACTGAGGAAAGGGTGGGAGAAAGCAAGTCAGTCTAGAGAATCCTGGAAATGCATATCCCAAACCCAGTCACACTCCCAAAGCCCATGCTGTGTGGGGCACTGTGCTGAGGGCTGTTCAGACCTGTTACATAGCTGTAACACGTCTGAGAGACCACGGGTGACCGAGGGACAGGCAAGACACCCTGGGAACTCACTGGCAGGAGCACAGGGCTCCTTCTTGGAGCAGGTGGCCTATGGCTGAGAAGGGACCTCTGTTAGCTCTGTGGACCTCTCTGAGAAATGCATGGATTAAGCTATAGACTCGCTGACCAGAGACACACGCATGCCTGCATACTACCCAGCGCACGGTTTCAGAAAGCCCGGAACCCGAGGCCCACTCTGTACCCGGTGAGGAACTCTTGGTCCAGAGAAACGACAGCATTTGGATAAGGCAGGGCACAGCTCATGCTGCGGCTAGCAAGCTGGAACACAGCGGGGGAGCTAGTATAGCACCCGCCAGGCAGAAGAGTGAGGCTGTCAGGTCTGTCTCGAGCGCAGACACTCTCTCAAGCTTGGTAGAAGCCCCGCAGGGACAAAGGGGCAGCGGACCTCCCACGGCGGCGCCGGCCGACCGGCCCTTCCCACTACAGCCACCGGAATGCGCGCGCCCGACGCCAGGCGGTGGGGATAAAGCTCACTCCGCCTGGCCTTTGTGCAGGACCCCGCCTCCGCTCTGCACGTGGGGCCTGAGCTCGGCGCGGTGGGGGTGGGGTCCCTGGGCTGCTTCCCTACGGGTTCCGAACCCAGCTCGCGGGAAGAAAGCCGCCAGGTTTGCACCGCCTGCCCTCACCTCGCGCGGGGTGCCGCCGGGGCCCGCGCCATAGCCACCGCCATCCCCGGCCCAGCCCACTCCGGCCACTCGCCCAGGCACGGCCCCGGTTCGGCCCCGGCTCGGCGCCTCTGCTGGGCCCGCCCCCTGGCCCGCGGACCCTTTAAGAATCCAGTGCGGAGGCGGGCCCGGGGCAGGACTTGCGGTCGGGTGGGAAGGTGTGCCTCACTTTCTAGCCGCCAATGCCGCGTTTCGGGCTCCAGGGTCCCCAGATCCTCCGCCAAGGAACGTGGCCATCCATCTAGGACCGTGAGGCCCCACCGAACGGGGCTTTCTCTGTAGTCTCAGCCACCAGCGCCAGTCAGCCCGAGATTCTACCCCCCCCACGCAGCCTGCGGCCGGTGGTACAGTCCTCCCTGCTCCGCGGCGCGGCCAGCCCCTTTAAAGGGAAAGCATAAAAGACCGGGATGGAGGAGGGGGAAAACGGAGGTGGCATTCTCCCGTCCGGCCGTAAGGAGGTGCTGTGAACCCTCAAAGCCTTGGCTAAGGGCAGCCGCGGATCTGGCTCGTTATCCCGGAGTGTAGCCCCCAGCACTGGGGCCATTTTGTGTGAAAATGGGGACGGTGACCAGTGCCGATCTCCAGCCTCCCAGGACAGTAATGTCCTGACACCTACGGATCAGGGTTTCCCTCCCCCGTCCAGGGTCTGAAGGGGCACCCCGCCCCCTGCTTGACTAGGGGAGGGCGCCGAGCGCCTGCCTCTTAGCCCTTTCAGGGCTGGGCGGAGGCAGTGGTTGTCTTGACAACAGGAGCTGTGGGTCGCAGCGTGGCCAGTCAGCTGGGGGCCGGTAAGCCCAGAGGGCCCTGGGGATAGGGCATCCCCCAACCCTAGACCTACACCAGGGACAGGCCAATCCCTGGACTCTCGTTCCCTCCAGCCCGGTTTCAGGCGCAGGGGGTGGGCTGTGAGAGCTCCCAAAGCTTGCCTTCAACTCTGAGGAGGCTGCCACCCTCGCAGAAATTCCTGGTGGGACCGCGGAGAAAGCCGGCTCGGCCAGAGGGGCAACCTCGGGCTTCCACCCGGTATCCTGAACCCTTTCACCCCGCTGGAGAGCAGGCTTGCATATGGACTGGGGCGAGATCTCCTTTCCTCTTCCTAGATCCGCTTCCCATGCGGGGCTCAGTTCCCCGAAGGGCGCGCGTCTGCACCGCCGGCCCATTCGCCACTGGCACGCAGGGAAGAAGAGGGAGGGAGGGAGCGCTGCTGTGAGCGCACCTATGGGGGGCGGGGGTGCAGACCAGTTGTCTGTGCTGGGCTCACCTGTGTGGGAGTCCGTCGGCCCAGGAGGTCGGCGGCCTCCTCCTTCCCAGGGTAGCCTCTCCAGCCAAGCTACTAGCGCCAGCTGCTGCCCGTCGGGCAGCCCGCTGGCGACTTGATAAACCCCATCCCCTCCCACCCGCTCCCGCCTCCCACCCCAGCCCTTTCTCCTCACTTCCTGCTGCCCCTCGGAGAGGAAAGGGCCAGGAACGGCGCGGGGGAGGGGACCGCCTTGACCCTATTTCCCTCCGGTATGCCCTGTTGGCTGGCTGCCCTCCCCACCCTTCCCCCAGTAGATCCTAGCCAGGGTGAACTGGGCCAGGTGACACGAAGGCTGTGGGAGCTGGCTCAGGTGCCAGCCTCTCCCATGCTGGCAGCTTTCTTAACATTGAAAGCTCTTTTCCCTTGAGGTTGAGGCCCATCCTCAAATGCAGTAGTGTGAGTGGAGGGGCCCCCAGTGGTGATGTTTTGGGGAGTCAAGCTACTGGGGAGATGATTGACTGATGATCCCCTTAAGCAGGTGATGAAGAAGGGAACCAGCCGGTGGGGGGCAGGGGCTAGGAGAAATTACAGGACCTGAGTCAATTTTTTTCCCACTGAGAGTGGAAATATCCCAAGTGTAATCAAGTGGTTATGTTGATGTGTGTGACTCTGGGGGTGGGGCAGGGGCTGGGAGGGTTCTGTAGGGTACTCTACTTCCAGAGGACATTCCTGGGTGGATTTCACTGAGACTCTATAGAGCTGGGGGCTCCTACAACATGAGTAAGGAAAGGGGTATGTTCCTGTGGGAGGGGGGTGCCCATAATGCAGCTGGCTCTGAGGCCATAACAGGGTCCCAGCAGACCCCTTCAGAGGTGCAGACAAACCTGTACATTCTCAAATCACTTGAGCCTACCCTGCCTTTCTTACTGTACTGTCCCACTGATGCCCAGGGCCACTCCCAACAGAGGCTGTGTAGGATTGGGGGCTTGGACATGAACCCTGGAGTCTGTCCCTGAGGACCAAGGAGTCCAGGACATTGCATGGGGTGTGTTTGTGTGTGTCCCTGTACCATTATGCTGGCTCCACAAGAGATACTGGCTTTGGAAGCTCCAAGGGTGGTGGCCCCTAGGGAAACAAAGGCCAGACCAGACTGTCCCAGGGCAGGGCCACTTCCTCAGGCAGCCAGCAGGAAGGAAGTGAGCACAGCCCAGTGGGAGGGAGTGGGGAAGCAGTGCTCTGACCCCCATTGTTTCTAGCTTTGGGGTCAGCTGGGGCAGGCCCAGCACAGGGAGTTCCCCCACACTGGGACAGTGGTGATGGGAGATGGGATACCATCTGGCATGGCAGAACCCTGGCCCCGGGGCAGTCAGTAGGCGGGACAGTGGAGGATGATGGGGCCTTATGTCTAGCATCTTATTGGGAAAATGGGCAGGTGCCCAAAGAACTGTAAATCCAGGCTGCATAGTGTGATCCTGCTCTGGACTCGACAGTTTAAGCCTCCAAAAGACTGGCAGCCCAATTCCCCAGACCCAGAAGCCTGTGGCCTCGAACTCCCTCCTCCCTAACTGGGAGTTGGGCTAATGGCCAAAGGCTGGGCCTGAACCAACCTTAAAGCAGACCCTGAGATGTATAGGCCAAATGTCCACAGGGGGCCAGCTACAAGTGAGAAGGCAGGTGGGAGGGAACAGAGAAAGTATGGGGTGGTTGAGCTTTTCCTGCTGGAACAGAAGGCCCAAGCCGTCTCCTGGTGGTGTCTGCAGGAAGCCCTGGGAGAAGGCTGCTGGGTTTGGGCTGCAGAGCCTGGCAGTAGATCAAGGGCATGGTGGTACCCATCTGGGTGCTGTCCACCTAAGGCTGGGCCTTGGAGGTCCATAGGGCTTAAGCTACGACCTCATGTGGGGCAGCTGGCACTGCTGGGGGCAGGACAGATGTTCCTGACCTATCTGAGATCATACTCTCACCTCAAGTTAAGAAGGTGGGGCCAACTACTAATGAAGCAGCCCAAGACTTTCCAGTCCTACGGGTCCCCACCTACTGAACACAATAGAGGAATGGCCCTCCATCCTGAGTGGCCCTGTGGTGAGATCTATGTGACTACACTGCCACCTGCTGGTCATGGCTGGGATGGCCACAGGCTGGGCTCAGGCTTACCCTGGGTCTTGCTGGCAATAGGAGGCCACCAGAGTCCTGGGCCCAGGCCTACCTACTGAGCCCAGGTGGGGAGGCAGCCCCACTGGGTGTTATAGCCCCAGAGGATGCCACTCTTGTATGCAGGGTCTACAAATAATTTTATTGAAACTGAACAAATAACACGACAGCCTTCCTAGATTGGGGGCCACCCTCCCCATACCATTTTCCACACTCTTGAAGCACAGTAAAGAATTTAAAAAAAGTCATTTCTATGTAGAAATCAGACTCTGCCCCAACAACATCATGGACTAGACTATTTACAAACTTTCACATTTTAAGTATTCCTTTTATGGTGGTTCTCTCCTTTCTGGCTCTGGTACATTCCCTTGACTGATCCTGCAGAGAGGGGCACACTGTAGGGGAAGGGGTGGCGGGGCTCCTCAGAGTTACTGGCACCAGTCCTAGGGTATTGTCCCTCACCACAGGGTGGCAGATGGTCTCCTCCCAGTGGGGGTGCGGGGCTGGTGCAAAGACAAGGGGGACTAGATGGAGTAAGTGGCTTAGGGGCAACTCCCCATAGGCACAGGCATCCATAGCCCTTCCTCATCCCATCCTCTACTCTCGCAACTGGGGGGTGGGATGGGGGGAAGGATGACAAGGGACACAACTAGTTGCAGAGGGGAGGGATCAGCCCTGTCCTGGGTGGGGAGAAACCTCCCACACCAGTCCCCACTCCTATTAATAGCCAACAAACTGTCCATCCATCTGGGGGTGGGAACACATGGCAGGTAGGCAGGAAGAATCAGGCTTGCGTTGCCCCCAGCCTCTGTCCAACAGAGGAGGAATCGAGGTAGCAAACGGCTGAAATGCTCCAACAAAAGGGTGAAGGAAGTGAGGGAAAGGAAGTTCCTACTTGTGTACAGCTCCCACAGCCCAGGGGCTGGAAGAAGGCAGACCTTACTTGTAAAGTGCTGTAGCCCCTAGCAGGGCTGGGCCCTAGGCAAGCTTGGAAGAAAGCAGATCAGGCAAGGGCACAGGAACCAGGCATTCCCAATCATTGTATGCCCTGCCACACTCCTCGTTGGACTGCTGGGGAAGATGGGCTGGTAACACCACTATTAGCCCTCACCAGCCACCAGCCAGCCATCTCTTGTCTGCATACAAACCAGCACCTGACCGACAATGCAGGACTGCCCCGCTCACAGCTGAAGGAAGGTTCCAGGCCAAAGGAGTTTATTCAGGATGTGGCTTCAGCCTAGATTCCTCAAAGGAAGCCACACCTTGAACCTGGGGGTTTCTTCCTGAGGCAGGGGGTGCTTATGCCTGCCACCCCCTAGGCTCACACCTCATAGAGGATCACAGGGAAATCCACGTGGATGCGGGGGGGATCCAGCTTCACGATGCCCTGCCATGGAAACAGAGGCTAGTGAGGGCCATCTCAGTGCCCATATTCCAGGAAGCCTTCCTGTTCCTCCCAGTTCCTCCCCCAAGAGCTCCCACCATGACAGGAGACCCCATCTAGGTCTACCTCACACTCGACATAGGCTCTGTGACCAGTGCCCAGCCCCTCACCTGAGGGATCAGGTTCTTATGTACCCGCCTCAGCTTGGCCCGCTTCTGCCCGTTCTTGGTGACGATTGTCTCCTCATAGAATTCATGAGCCAGGTCCCCATCCTCATCATAGAACATGGAGCTGTGTAGAAAGAGAGGGGAACAGGCTGGGCTGGAGTCTCACATCTGGTCATGGCAAATGCCACAGACCACCAGGAAGTGTACCCACCCTCAAATGGGGAGAAACAACCTTGGTGGGAGAAAGAAAAGATAATATGTCTGCAGAATCTCTCGTTTAAGGTCTGGATTCTACTAGAAGTGAGGAGTGGGGTGGTGGCCAGTGTTACTCTGTCAGACCCCAAGAAGAGAGGCTATACCAGAGTACATTGTGCAGGCAGCCAAGACCAGTGCTCATCGCTAGTTTGTTCAGCAATAGCCATTCCAACATCAGGCCCCTACCTTCACCCACGATATCTAGTCAGCAGGATGGTGGCATGAGCATGTTGGTCTCATTCCAGAAGCCACTGCTGGCCCAGGGCCAAAGCCTGAGGTAGCCTGAGCTAGGAGGGAGCCTAAAGGAAAAAAGGCTGCATCCTCCTCATGCCCCTCAGGTAGCTAGTGCAGCCAAACTGCCACTGTTGGGACTTCCCTAGGATCTACAGCCAAAACGCTAGCATCACTTGAGTACCAGTCCCCCAGGGAACACCAGGGCCAGACCAATCTAGTGCTCTTGTCTGGACCCCTGGGGAATAGCGGGGGAGGTCCGAGCTCCAGATCTGGAGAACAACACATCTGGGTGAAGGCCTTTTCCCCTAGGTCACATCCCCAACACTGGG